TATACAGATTTTATTTACATAATAAAAGCCCAAAAAGGTAACAAAATTTTACAAAACCTCACTTTTTACCACGCTCTCTAACTCGCATACTATCAACTCCAATAACATCACATTTTCACGAAAATAAAGATTTTACAAGTAAAAAAAAAAAATTAGATTTCCACACAGCACCCTGATTGCACTAACCCAGCTGCATACTCATCCGGCACTTCCACCTTGGCCAATTTACCTTTCTGCCCTTCCATTAAATAGAACCCAATTGGCGCCCCCTGATAAGCCGAGCCGGTCACCAGAATCGGGTCCCCGAGATCCACTACGCACGCCCCAACCCGTACGGCCGAGTCCGCCTCCGCCCAGCAAACCAGCGAATTCCCATTTGCCACCCCCACCGAGGACCTGGGGCACCGGCTGACCCGCCACGCATCCTCCACCCGCCTCCACTGACCCGACCCGATATCATAAACCTCGGCACTGCTCTTGAACGCACCCTGCGTCTCAGTGCCGTACCCGCTCACGACCCAGAACTCTGACCCGACCACGACCCCCTCGCACTCGTCCCGCTCCTCGCTCATCCGAGTCAACTCGGACCACTCGTTCCTCTTCACGTCGAAGACCCACGCGGAACTCAACGCGTTTTTACTCTCGTCGTGCCCCCCGGCGACGAAAACCCTTCCGCCGAACGCCCCGATCGCGAAGAAGGACCGGGTCGAGGGCATGTCGGCGCACTGAGTCCACGCCCGAGTCGTGAACTCGTAAACAAAGACGTCCCTCACCGGTTCCCAGCTGGATGGGGCCCACCCTCCCATCAGCACGAGCTTCCCCTCCGTGCTGACCACCTGGCAGAACAGGGGCAGCCCATCCGGGTATTTGGGAACCGGGTCGACCCGTTCCCAGCTGAGTGCCGCCGGGTCGAACAGCGTGAGCCCGTACCTGGGTGGCCCCGAGGGTTTGGACTCGGACTGAGTCGGAAGGGATTGGACCAAGCAAGCGGCCTTGCGTGTGAAGCCGGATTGCTTCCTGTGGTAGTAAAAATCCGTGCTTTGGAGAAGACTGCGCCAGCGTCTGCAGACACTGGAAGAGACCCCGTGGGCTGAGTAGTGCAGCCGGGTCAGACATTCCAGGGCGAGTTCTTCGGGTAGACCAGGTATTAAATCGGTGAATTCTTGATCATCCATGAGTCGAACCAACAAGTTTGGATTGGAATTGATGGTGTTTTGTTCAAAGTTTTGATTTGGGAAACAAGAAAATTGTAAGTTGATTGGTGATTTTGAGTGAGATTT